AAGGGGCAGGTAGGGCTCTTGGGCGTCGGATTCCAGGTGGAAGGCCAGAGAGCTCAGGGGTTGTGGGACTCGGATCCCGGGTCCGAAATGGGGGTTGGCGACCTGAGAGTTGGGGAACTCAGATCCGGAATGGGGGTTGGGAGTTTCAGACCCAGACTGCGTGGGAGAGGGCCACGGATCCGGGGTCCGAAACAGTGTCCGCACCTGCGTAGGTGACGCGAAGGTAAAAGACATTTGTCCCGGGCCCACAGCTGGGGCCGGAGCGGCGGCAGCCTCGGCGTAGGCGCGGGCCTGGCGCACGAGGCGACCCAGGCCGGGGCGGCGGAGCAGTGTGGCTGGCAGCATAATGGCAGCGGCGTGTGGTCAGGGTCTGGCCGAACACCGGCGGCTTGGAGGGCGAGGAGGACGACGCGCGGGGACGTCTGGGAGACGGATCAGACTTGAGAGCGCCTGCGCAGACTACGACTCCCGGCTGGCTACCCGCGAACTTGACGACGCGCTACCGGGCGCGCAGCATGCTGGGGATTGTAGTTTTGTTTTGGCCTCAGCTCTCGGTTCACTTCTCAGGCGTGTGGGAGGGACGTCAGTTAGACGGCTCTTCGTGGAGAGACCAGAAGCCTGCGCGGAGGAGGAGACATTTAAGTTGAATTCGAGATTTGGAGAGCGTTCACTAGATGTTAGCATCTAGAGAGAAATCAGAGAAATACCGAGACTCCACCTCTGGTGTGGGTGGTGAGAGCGTTTCACAGACGTTCAATGTAATAATTAAGCAAACCCTATATTATGTTAGAAGGGGGGAAAATACTCTTTTTAAAAAAGGCTAAAAGAATGTGAAGGGTGGGGTTTGAGTCAGGTTGCAACTGAGGGAAGTTCAGGAATCCTGGTAACCGCATCCACCGGCAGAAGACCCAGCGCGAGCAAGCGCCGGCTGTGCGAACAGCTTGGCTGCAAAGTCCGAGAGCGCCACGAGAGGGCGCCCCCGTGTCCGGCGCTGCTCTCTTCGCAGCCTCGCCCGGTTGTCGCCCCCCACGCGCCGCTGACGCAGGGGCGCCTGCGCTGGCGGCCCAGGGTTCCGCTGACATCACCGCGGCCTGCGCAGCCTCGCTCGCGTAACTGACGTCGTTGCCCCGCCTCCGCGGTCACGCACGCAGGTCGGCGCGCAGGGCTGGGTCCCCAACCCCCGCCCCCGGGTTGGGCTCCGGGGAAATGCTGTGTGCGGCCTGAACGGGAAGGTCTTCTGCTGAGGAGCAGAGGAATGCAAGGCGCAGGGTAGTGGCTGTCACCCCTGTGCCAGGGGCAGGTGGTCTGCGACGCGGGGCTGCTGCAGAGGTTCCAAACCCCTGGGGCAGCGTGAGTCCTGGCTCCTTGCAAAGTCCAGGCAGGCGCTGTGGCCACGCCTCTGCCTGGAAGCATCCGTGCCAAAAAAATGTCCCCTCCGAGCCCTGGGGATGGGGGAATGTGCATTGGGGAGCCCTACTCACCTGTCTAGGGGTGTGTGAGGTGCGCAGGCCGTCCTCTGCTGGAGGCCCGGATCCCATATCGAGGCCTGATCTAATTGACTGCTTAAACCCATCCACTGGACTTCTTTCCAGTCCCCATTCCAGCGTGGCCCATGGGTACAAGCACCACCTGTTACTCAGGTCCCAAACCTGAGGTTATCGTGTAATGATACCTTAGCGGACCCATTTACAAGGCCTGACTACCAAGCTCGGCCACCTGTGGCTACCTTCAGTGGCTTGGATGGTCTCAGTCTTCCTCCCCTAGCGTCACCATGGGTGCCTTCACACACAGCCAGAGGGACCATGGTATTACTCTGCTGAGAACCACAAGCTGGTTTCCCCTGCTCACGCAAATATGTCAGCCAACTGCAAACACTTTCCTACCTCAGGGCCTTTGCACATGCCATCGCTGTTCACCTGATGCCAGCTTTCCTGGGTATTTATCCACTCAGCTGTCCCCTTGCCCTCCTTTAGTGGCGTCACCCTTTCATCCACTCAGTAAGAACATTCCCTCCTAGGTGCCAGCCCTGTGTTACACCTGGGGACCCAGGCTTGAATGAGCTCCTACTCTTGGAAGTCAACATGGAGAGGGGGCAGGGGACACAACACACAGGAGCTAATAAGGTAGAGAGCCACAGTGAGGAAAAAAGTGCAGCAGGGGACAGGAGTGTGGGGTAGCAGTTGCCATGTTAGCAGACATAGCCAAGAGGAGAGGCATGGAGGATTTGCTATTTGGGAAGTGTTGAAGGGGACCAGGGAGAGCCTCTTGCCGCTGAGCTGGAAAAGAGTCGTCTTGGCCTGGCACCTGCAAATTCAAATGCCTGGAGGTTGAACTTGGGTGTCACTGAGCAGTGTGGGCCTTCCCTGGAGAAGAAGTGGTGTCCTTATGGGGTATAGCAGGGATGGGATCAGGACCAAACTGATGGCAGGCTGGTGGCCTATGCATCTAGAAGGACAAAGCACGATTTTCGGAGAGGAAGAAGGGGAAGCAGCTTTGGGATTTGCCAGGCGTGAGGTTTCTGAAGAGTAGTTAGAGTGTTACCGGCACTGTGCAGGCCCTGGTAGCACTCTACAGAGGTTGCGTTCTATTATCTTTGCTCTTCCCAACGAGGCAGGGCACACGGTGAGCCCTAACAGTGTCGCCCTAACACGGAAAGGAAGGGAGGACATGTGCCTGAGATTCCTGGGATATGTACGTTGAGGACCCCAGACTAGGGAAAGATATGGAGGGGGGTCTGTGCACCCGAGGACCCCCAGCTGGGGGTAGTCGTGCATTCCACGGTGCCCTCCCCTCCCCTTCCCAGCCCTTTTGGAGCCTGGAAAGGGTCGACAATTCTTGCTGCAGGGGCTGGGGGCGGAGATAAGCCAACGCGGGAGAGGGCGGCTCCGTGTGGGGAGGGGGCGCCGGGGAGCTCAGGCTCCGCCTCCCCTCACCCCCCCCCCACCCCGCTGCCGCCGGAAGGGAAGGGGAGGCGGTGGCCAGTGCGGACGGAGCCAGACGCGGCGGCGAGCGCGGCGGGGGCGGCCGGTCGGGACCCAGCGGCACCCCGCGGGTGGGAGCGGGCTCGTAGCCAACGCGGTCACGTGAGCGGCCCCTCCTCTCGCGCCTGCCTCCCCCGCGCACCGGGCTCTCCATTCATAAATTCTCCTGCTCCGCGGCCACCGGGCGCCGGAGCCAGCCGGGAGCGCCGCGCATCCCTCTGCTCGCTCCCAATGGGCCGCGCGCCCCGAGACTGAGGTAGGCGCGGCGGGCCCGGGGCTGCACTGGGGCGGGCAAGGGTCAGGCTGGGACCGCGAAGCCTAGGATCACGGCCGACTCCGGTGCCCGCCTTGGCTTGGGACCACTGTCCTTTCCCGGCGAGGCGCGAGGGGGTGGGGGAGCGGAGGATCCGGGGAGGGCGTGGGAGCCAACCCGCGGGGTTCTGCACCTCGCCTTCGGAGGCCCGAAGAAGGACTCCCCCCTCCACCGCGTCCTCTCGGGCCTCAGTTTACCCCTGAGAGATCCAGAGAAGACTATGGCGTTTCCGCCTCTTGGCTTAGCCCGAGGTTGAGATGTGCCTGCAGCCCCTCTCTTTGCCTGTCCTCGCTCGTCATCCCCGCCCCCGGGGCCGGATGTGAGCGCGGGGTTAGGCGCAGAGACTAGCGAGCTCGGGGAGCCGAGGTCCAGCGGGACCTCAGGGTCTAGCCCTTGGGGAACCTCCGCCCTCGCTCCGGTCCCCGCCCACCCCAACAGTCCACCTCTCTTCTCCGCCTCCTGCCATCTTTTCTGGTCCCCTGTCATGTCCATGCGCCTCTGCCCCCTCCCCCTCCAGCCTGAACTCATTTCCCAACCTACATATGCGCGCGCCCTACCCCCCAGGAGACAGGGGAGCCGCGTCCAGATCCTGACCCCGAGCGTTGAGGACACTTGGATTTCGCCAACACCCTCCCAATCTCAGTTTACCCCGCTGTCGCGTGGGGTCAAAACCCGAAAGAGTTGGGGACACTGGAGCCTGTGTACAGGTTTCCCTTTTCTCTGGGAAAGAACCGAGCGAGAGCCCAGCCTATTCACCGCTGCCGGTCATCCGGCCCCAGACTCTGTTCCCTGAGATTCCAGACTGCGCCCCCGTCCTTCCCGGCCGCGGGGGAGGGTCAGGTGCAATGTTTGGACAGTCCCTTTCCCGAGTGCCGGGCCCCTCCCCAGCCTCAGTTTCCCCCAGCGTAAGGCAGGTATGGAGGCCTGCCAGTCCGGGCTGGGAGAGCCTGCTGGCGGAAGCGCCCAGCCTGGGGCTGGGCACCGGTGCGTGGGGAGGCTCGCAGCAGCCATTTTGCCGCCCAGGGCCCCGCATGAGTCGCCCTGCAGGAGGCCTCTCTCTCCCGCCCCGCCCCTCCCTAGTACTCCCTGGCAACCCCCCCACCCCAGCTCAGCCTGCTCGCTCAGTCGCCATGGGAACCAGATTCTTCAGGGCTGGGTACAGATGCTCCTTCTTTGGCCTTTTCACTCCCTCTAGCGATCAGTGGAAGGGGGCCTTTAACTCCCGAGTCATGATCCTGGAGACCCTGTGCTCCGCCACTCTGCTCCCCATGGTGGACTACGGGGTCCCCGCTAGCCTGGAGCCAGTCTCCTGGGGCGGCCCCTCCCTCTCCCTTAATGAGGCGGGCAGGGCCCTGTGGTCTCTTGGGGTGGTGGGCATGCAGGTGTAGCTGACACCCTCAGTTTCCCCATTTTCCTAGGGGGTGCTTCCCCTTTCCTGGGCAGGGCTCCCAGCCTAGCGCCACCTTGCCCGTCCGGCCGCACCAGCTGGGGAGGCAGTTGATACACGCCTTTGTCTTAAAGATGGGGAGATGGAGGTCCCTGCTGGGCACTGATCTGAGGTGGGTGGGGGCGACCTCGGGTTCCCCCCCACCTTTCTGTGAGTCACTGTCCTGTGTGGGCTTCTGCTTTGACTCCCTGGGATGAAGGAGGGGGTGGGTGCCAGGCAGCTGGAGCTGAGCAGGCCCTGCCCCCACAGGGCCCTCCTCACCTCAAAATGCAGCCCACTGCTACCATGGCCACAGCTGCCACCACCTCCACCACAGCCACCCTGACCATGACGTGGGAAAACACCACAAGCCACCCCACTGTGAGTGATGGGATTGGGGAGGGGGATTGGTGGGTTGGGACCACCAGAGTCCACAGCAGGACCTGACCCCTGCCACCCCACAGGCAGAGCCCGACCCCATCTTGGACAACTACATGATGCTAGTGGTGGTAATGTCACTCTTCGTTGGGGGGACCCTCGTGGTGCTGTCTGGTGTGTTGCTCCTGTGCAGGCGCTGCTGGGAAGTCCATCGGAACTTCAACAGGTGCATGGCTACCACCCTGCTGCCTTCAGGGGGGGCCCGGGAGAGGGAGCTGGACAGTGAGGAGCAGGCCCACCATGCCTGTGCAAGGCCAGCAATGTTAGGGGATGACAGGTGCATGGGGTGTCTCTTCATGTACCAGGTCCCAGCAGGTGGGCTCTAGTGAGCTCGGGGGCACTGCCAGTGGGCACAAGCCCTTCAGGGACACTGACCCACCTTGCTTTTCCTTTTGTCCTGCTCCAGAGCTACAGAGGAGTTAGAGAAGACCACCACTACCTACTTGGACAATGGCACCCACCCTGTCCAAGGTGAGGCTGTGCCCAAGCCCCGCCCATGCCCAGGCCCTACCCCCTGCCCACTCGTGGGTCTCCCTCCTGGGGCCTCCTGACCTTCTGTGTCTGTCTGTCTCCCCCACCAGACTGGGCGCAGCTCGATTCCGACTCATCTCTGTTTCCTTAAAGCCCACGCGTAGGTGCTCACAGGCGCATGCTGAGCGAGTGAGTGTGTGAGCGGATGAGCGAGTGCCCGCCCACCTCCCTGTCCGTCCTTGGCGGTCAGTCGGGCCCCCTCGCTCCCTCCCAGGCCAGTCCCGCTCACAGTCAGCCGGCACCAGGCTCGGCCCACCCTCTCTTGGCTCTCCTCACAGACCCCGAATTGAGGGGGGAGGACCTCGAGGGCCAGGATGCAGAGACCGAGCGCTTCCTGTCCACCAGCTCCACCGGCCGCCGTGTGTCCTTCAATGAGGCAGCCCTGTTTGAGCAGAGCCGGAAGACACAAGACAAGGGCCGAAGGTAAGGGATCACTGGGCGGTCAGCACCCTCGGGGCTGAAGCATAGTCTTGCTGTGGGGCTCGTTGGGCAGGCTAGGCCTCTGCTGAGTGGCCACTCACGTTCTGCTTTCCCCAGACCTGGCAGGGTAGAGAATGGGCTCATGGAGCAGTGGACTGTGGGCACGGGGGAATCTGGCTGAGCACAGGGGCCAGCCGGCTGCTCCGTGACTGGTGGGTATGCTGGGCACAGGTATACCCTGACAGAGGGGGATTTCCATCACCTGAAGAATGCCCGTCTCACCCACCTGCACCTGCCGCCCCTTAAGATTGTCACCATCCACGAGTGTGACTCCAGTGAGGCTAGTGCAACTGCCATGCCTCACCCCACAGCCCCTCCCAAGGCCAGCCTTGCCATATTCCAGGTGAGATGGAGGGTTTGGCAGCCAAACCTGGGCTTGGTGGGAGGAACCCCCACCCTCACCTGGCAGATGGCACCTTTCCCTCTCTCTGGACCAGGCCCCTCATCTCAGGATGGGAGGGGGCTGACTGGGATACATAGAGGGGGGGCTGGGTCCAGCACGCCCCCTCACCCACCAGTGCTCTTTGACCTGTCACTGCTTCCTCCTCCACCCTGGCTCTGTCCCACAGCCCCCGGGGAAGGCCCTCACTGGCCGCTCCGTGGGCCCCAGCTCCGCCCTGCCAGGTGACCCCTACAACCCTGCCACGGGCCCTGCTGACTTCGAGATCAGCCCCTCCGCATCCAGCGACTCTGGGGAAGGCATCTCGGTGAGGGCTCCCATGTGTCCCTTCCCTGTCCCAGTCCAGAACAGGTCAGCCTGTGGCCTCCCGCCCTCTGCAGCTCTCCTTGACCCAGCCTGGTCCCTGAACAGGGCTCACAGCACACAAGTGGGCTCCTGTAAGCTGGGGAAGGTGCCCAAGGGCACGAGCCCTGTGGGGCGGGCAGCACACAGGACACATGCACAGCCATCTCACACACAAGTATGCTCACACATGCACAAAGTACTTCGGCAGCTGAGCAAGGTGTGATTAGGATCCACACAAAGTACCAGGATGAGTGCTCCTGGACATTTACCCTTGGACCTCCTCTGTCTGGGGCTGGGGAGGACAGAGTTGGCCAGCGCCTGGTTGAGCCCCTGGGAGCCTTTTGGGCAGTGCCTGGGGTGGGGGGAAGAGCTCCACGTTCCCCCCTCTGCACTTGGCCTGGGCTGAGTAACAGGTGCGGGATAGTGAGGAAGGGACCTTCCTGCCTGAGAGCATTTCTCTTCCCTACTAGCTGGATGTGGGTGCCAGGAACACCAAGGCTGGTGGGCCTGGGGCTTCTGTGGGGCCCCAGGAGGCAGGCCCAGGCTCTGGGGCAGGCCCCGTCCTGCAGTTCTTCACCCGCCTGAGGCGCCATGCCAGCTTGGATGGGGCCAGCCCCTACTTCAAGGTCAAGAAATGGAAGCTGGAGCCCAGCCAGCGGGCATCAAGCCTGGACACAAGAGGTGAGCTGTAGCCCCAGGCAGGGAGTGAGGGCCATGAACCCTGCCCCAGGCAGCCAGAGTAGGAGGCTCAGAACCCAGGGTGGGGATCTCTGCTCCTGAGGGATCTCCAGCACCTGCCCCACGCTGGCCAGTGTGTGCCCTGTCCAAGGTCTCATAGCTGGTTGGGAAGGGGCCCAGGGCCATGCATCAAGCCTTTATGGGGACCCAGACAATAGTGCTTATAGCTTTGCACTCAGACTGTCTACAGTGGTGGTAGGCAGCATACAGCATAGGAATGAGTGTGGCTGTGTGCCAATAAAATTTATTTACAACAGGTGGGGGCCCATTTGGCCACCCCTGGATAAATGACAGCAGCCTTCAACACTGCAGACCCTGGGGCACGTGGGGTCATGGATATAGGGCTTCCTTATCCTCAGCCCAAGGCAGAACTGTGCAGGAGTGTGGGGAGGTGGGTACCGACAGCTGTAACCAGCCCTGCTCCAAGGAGCTTAGACCAGGCCAGGCCAGGCGTGTGCTTGCTGCCCTGTGGAGGAGGCAGGGAGAGAAGACAGACAGTATCAGAGGGGCATGGCTAGTGACAGTGCCAGCCCCTTGTTGGGGCCTGGCTCCAGCTAGCACCAGAGAGGGTAGGGTGAGTTCTGGCCTAGGTGCTCCTGGCCAGGGAGGGACGGCTTGTACTTCTGCCTTGTTGGGAGCCCTGATTGCAGCCTGTGATTCCTGAGGCTGACTAGTGAAATGCAGGTGCCGAAGCACCCAGAACCTATTTGCTAGGTGACTGTTCTCTCCACTCCTGAGGCCTTCCCACTGAAGCTTCTCCCAGGCCTCTGTGGTGAGAGGATCCTGGCCCCCATCCAGGCGGCCTGTTGGCATCCTGGCAGACATGGGGCTGGCAGGAGAGGACTTCACCTCTTCCCTCATCCCCCCAACTTGCCCCTCGCACTTCACACCTTCCTGCATCACATCTGCTTTAGCCCAGCTGTGCTTGCCACTGGGTGGCCAGTGAAAGTCCTTGCTCTAGCCAGACCTATCTTCCCAGGCTGCTCAGGGCACTGCTGCTGCCTTGGCACAACCTCACACCTGTACAGCAAGGTACATGCTCATCTGACCCAGGCTGGTGCCTACAGACCTGGGGGTGGGGTGCAGGGCTGGGAGGGGCCCAGGCAGGCTGATGTGCCTCCCTCCACACAGGCTCCCCCAAGCGGCACCACTTCCAGCGGCAGCGAGCAGCCAGCGAGAGCATGGAGCAGGAGGAGGGGGACACACCCCACATGGACTTCATTCAGTACATTGCCAGCACAGGCGCTGCCTTGACCTTCCCGCCCCCCTGCCCCTTTCTGGCCAGCCCCACCAGCCCGTCCCCCGCTCTCGGCAGGTATTTTTCAGTAGATAAAAGTGCTAGGGGTGGGCCTGTGGGCCCCTTCCCTACCCCATCACCCTGTAGCCGAGGGAGTGCTTTCCCGGTCCTGTCTGCAGGACAGAGAGGCAGTCAAATTCCTCCAGCACCACTGCCCCTCCTGGAGTCTGCCTCACTGGGGCCACGTCTCCAGCATGGACCGGAGGAGGGGAGCAGGGGGAGACTGGGTAAGGGCCAAGGGGAGGGTGGGGCCCCTGACGATGGCCCCAGGGTCACCAGGACTAAACGCTTACACAGGCAGGGCTGCTGGGGGTCCGTGCATGCTAGGGTAGTGCCACTTCCCAGTGGAGTCCTTGGCCTGAGGGCTCCTCCCAGCCCTGCACCCCACCTGCCCGGGCTCCTTCTCAAAAACTGTCCTGACCACATCTGTCAGCTGGACCCACCTCCCCAAGCCCAAGGGCAGCTATCCTGAAGCTCTGGGCCCGTGGCAGTGAGATGGGGGATCCAGGGAACAGAGCGGAGTTCTATATTTGGGCACTCCCTGGTCTAGGTAGTGACCCCTTGTGATTGTATATCATCCGCCCTAATTTTTATCAATCAAAAATGGTGGGAGGGTATTAAGTGGCATATCCAATCACCCATGGGTAGGGGCCCTCCACCTGCTTAGTCCCTCTGCACTGTCCCCACCTGCAGTCACTCTCTAGGTGAGGAGCAGAGCACCTACAGGGCTCACAGGTGTTTGGGTCACGTATAAGACATCCTAGTTGAAAAGCAGGCTCCAGGAGAGCTCAGGGTTTACCCAAAAAGCATCCCTTGCAAAGGGGAATTTTAAAAAAACTCACCTTGTGCAGAGCCTGGCCAAGGTGGAGAGTCCCCATCCTTGCCCACCGTCCCTGATCACGCAGGGTAGAGCTGGGGAGGGGATGGGGGGGAGGGCCCTCTGACCAATGCGCCTGGCTTGCAGGCTAGAGGTGGAGGAGGAGGAGGCAGGCGCCGTGGGAGGAGTGAGCCCCGAACCCCCCACGGAGCGCAACGTAGGTGGTGCGGGGCCTGAGCAGCAGCAGGAGTCGGACAGTGAGCGAGACGCAGGGCTGGAGCAAGCCCAGACCATCTACCGCGACATCTGGAGCCTGCGCGCCTCGCTTGAGTTGCATGCAGCCACCGCCTCAGACCACAGCAGCAACGACCGCGACTCAGTGCGTAGCGGCGACAGCTCTGGCTCCGGGGGCACAGCTCCCACCTTCCCGCCGCCCTCGCCACCACCTGCGCTGCGGTCTTCGGATGGTGAGGTGGGAGGGCCGCGCAAGCTGCTGCAGATGGACAGTGGCTATGCCAGCATTGAGGGGCGCGGCGCTGGTGACGATGGGCCTCCCAGTGCGCCCCAGAAGCGCTCCTCCTTCACCAGTGCAGGCCATGCGGCTACCATGGGGGGCAGCTTTGAGGGGACCCCGCCTGAGGAGTCCACCTGGCCTCCCAGCCCACGTGCCTGGCCGCGTCGCACACCACGCCGGGACTACAGTGTGGATGAGAAGACTGATGCGCTCTTCCATGAGTTCCTGCGCCATGACCCGCACTTCGATGACGCCCCGCCCGCCACTGCGCGCCATCGAGCACGCGCACACCCACACACCCACCCTCGCAAACAGTGGCAGCAGCGTGGCCGGCAGCACAGTGACCCTGGGGAGCGAGCTGCACCCTCTGCACCGCCTGGGCCCGACTCCCGCCCCACGCGCGCGCCACTGCGCCGTGGTGATAGTGTCGATTGCCCGCCCGACCCACGCACAGGTGAAGACCCAACGAGCACCCCAGCGTCCACCATCCCGGCGATCGAGGAGGAACCTGGCAGCGGGTGCCCTGGATCAGGCCTTTGTGCCCAGCCCTCAGGGGCACTGCTGGACAAGCTGGCAGCCGGCCTTGAGGACAGACTCTTCCTGCCACACCTCGCCCAGCCAGTCAGTGCAGCCCCCGTGCTGGCTGCCGCCACCGCAGCGCCTACATCGCCGGACCACAGTCCCGCCTAAGCCCCACGACCAGCTCTCCAGCTCCTATCGCGTGCACAAGGGCTCTGCAGACGGACATACCAGGGGCACGAGGTCCCGGTGCGCTATCTTCTGCACAAGCGTACTGCCCTGGATGCCCACACTGCCCCAGAGCGCATGTGCACAGTCCCCTCCAGTCACTAAGCTGGCTTCCTGTGTTATTCCTAGGCACAAGGACCCTGGCTTATCTGGAGGGAAAGAGGCATAGTCTCATCTTTGTGCTTCGGAGGAACACATTCAACTGTCCCTACCCCAGACAGTGTGGCCTCTGGAGAGTGGCTGGGCTTTCCTTCGCGGGAGACATGCGCAACGCGCCCTTACCAGGGCCAGCTGAGCCTTGAGGCACGTCTGGGCTGCAGGAGCTGAGTCCACGCCAGTGTGCATGCTCCAAGCCTGCTGAACACGGACCGCAGTGTACTGAGGATCAGTGGAGTGCACCGTCATGGCTGCCAATTACCGGAAGCCGCTCACTGCTGCGTGGGTTTGCTGCAGCCCAAGCCTCCTCCAAGCAATAACCACGGCCACCACCACTGCTGCGCCAAGCCCTGGACAACTCTTTGCAGTACCCTTGGTGTCTGCAACTGCCCTCCGCATGTGACTGGGCTGCCCGCCCCACAGCCACACATCCAAAGAGCCCCAAGACTCATCAGTGTTTGAGACTTATACAAAATCCAAATGGCCAAGGTTTCAAGTTTCCCAAGCTTTATTTATTGCCAAAAGATGGGGCAGCTGAGCCGCCCCGCCCCACCAAGCTTCCTGCAGTCTGTGTACCATTCATTCAGTGATGGAGTTTGTTTTCTGGTTGATTATAAATATTTACTGCATACTCTGGCTTGCTCTGGGTTTTCTCTGGGGACCTAGGAGCAGAGGCCTGGGGGAAAAAAGGCCAGGATCCTGCTGTCACACTTGGCCCCTGTGCTGTGGAGCTGTAGGCCCTGGGATGAAGCTGAAGGGCCTGCTTAGCTTTGGAGAGACAAGGTTGCCACTGCGAGAGCAGAGGCCCAGTGTGGCTAAAGACAGACCCCCGTGGAGGCCCAGGACCTCCACACATCGAGGACAAGAGCTGACTACCTTGGCCAGTTCCTGCACTGTGGGGTCTGCAGAGGGGCCCCATGCACAGACTCAGATGACCCACCTGACAAGCATATTCTGCCACCCAACAATTCCCAAACACCCCTCACAACCACAGCTCAAATCGACCTGTTTTATTTTTTCTTAAAAAAAAAAAAAAAAAAAAAAAAAACCAACCAAGCAACAAAACAAGGCAGCCACCTGGCTCCCAAGGGCACTGGGCAAGCGTCTTGGTGGGCAGGCCCGTCCACCCCCACTCGAAGTCCACCCCCACTTGATCGCAGTTTGTTTGAACACATTAGGTGTGGGAGGTGCTGTGTAGCAAAGTAAAGAGAAGTCGGGCGAGAACCAGTAGTCTAAACGTAAAGTGCACGGCGAGGTCTGTGCGGGGCCCATGGCCTGGCCTCACCCTCCCCTGGCCAGGAAAGGGGCCCAGCACGGGATTGCAAAGTCAACAGGAGGTTGTATCCACTGCCCACAACGCGGAGGAGGGGGACAGACTCCAGTCTCTGATGTTGCCTAGCCACAACCCTCCAGGACCCCCTGGCTTCCGGAGGAGTGGTCAGCACGAAGGGTATGGCAGTGGCCTTCCTGGGCGGTGGGCAGTGGGCCGGCAGTCGTCGGGAAGACTGAGGACCCGGGCCATGGCATCTGGCCAGGACTCCCAGAGATGGGCTGCAGACAGACAGAAGGTGTGTCAATTCCAGGCCAACAAACATGTTCTGCATTTCTGGGGGCATCCCCACCCTGGTGTCCACTAGTAGGGCAGGGAAACAGGCCCAGTCCCATGGGGTTGTCAGACATCTGGAGAGGCCAGGGGAAGCTTTGCGGACTTGGGCCCCTGTGAGTCACTCATTGCACAAGAGGATTAAGGGCCTCCAGAGGCCCCACGGCTGGGCAGGGGTAGCTGCTGCCTCTGGCCTACACCTGACTGCCCACATCCTGAGCAGGTGACAGGGTCTCCAGCACCTCCAGGGCCTCTGATCCCCACTTCCTAAACTGGGGCAGCCAGGAATCAGAAGGGAAAGCAGACACGAGGAGTACAGCCTCAGTTAGACCCCACCCACTCCCCACTACTCCCCGCCCCTGGCCTTCCTCCAACACAGGGGCCCCACTTCCCAAGTGGCTAGCATCCTACAGGAAGTGACCTCGGCCTCCAACCCTGCTGGCAGTCACCACAGACTGCCAGGACTTCGAAGGGCAGAACTGGACATGGTCAGCCATGGCCATAAGGGCGGCCTAGTTAAGTCTGGGCAATGCTTACTCCTGCCCATCCCCGTCATCCCCACTGTGGCCCACCTACAGCCAACCGCCCTCACTGCTGCTTGCAGGCTGACAGCCGACGGATCTTGCCACTGGCAGAACAGGCCTTGCGGGCAGGGTTGGAGACTGCACTGGCCCGGCGCTCTGCCCTTGATTTGGTGCTCAGCTGCGCCGAATCAGTACCATTCATGCACATGGTCTTGGACAGGCCCCAACTCTGTCCGTTCTGACTGGCCTCTTCTTCTGGGACTTGTCCTAGGAGGGGGAGGACAAGTGTGGGCTAATGGAGGCCCAGGACCAACACCCCACACACAGAGCAACCCAGCTCCCCAAGCACGACCCCACCTGTCCCACCCAGGTCTTGCCTGCAGGGGCCCTCACCCGGGTAGAGAGCGAGCTGGTCTCAGGGCTGGCTCGCCAGCCGGGGCAAGACCCAGACACTTGGTGAAGGACCGGGGGCCTGGGACAAGGGTGAGCCTTGGCCCTCTCATCTGTTCAGAGGCCACACCTTGCTGGGACGTGTGAGGCTTGGGAGGGGCTGGGCTGAGGTCAGGTGTGTCTCCCGAAACAGCCCACTGGGATGAAGGATCAGTGCCAGGGACCTACCATGACCCCAATCTCACCCTTGAGGCATCCAAGGAACCACGGGCCAGGGGCTTCACTTCTGTGCTCACTGAGACAGAGAGAAGGGCATGCAGGGAGGGGCCCACGAAGCTCAGTCAGTGCACACTGAAACCTGGCCTACCTTCCTGTGACACTGGTGGGAAATTGCCCTCCGGTACCTGGAGCCCTCAACTCCTCTCCAACAGAGCCCTCTCTCTGCCAAGGGTGTCCAGGGCCCCACTCAGCGGCTTCCAAACTTGCCACACCCGCCCATGTGTGCCCCGGTCAGAGCTCATCCCTGCTCACAGGATCCTGCTAGACAGAGCACGTTGGAGGGGCCTTTGTGCGGATGACCCGCAGCCCAGCCGTCGGCACAACATCTGAGACCTGCCCCACTCACCCTCAAGGCACTGCGCAGGCAGCAACTGGCTGGCCCAAGGCCCAACTCTCAGGGTTGGTGGCAGGACCCCCGTGGTGTGGACAGCTGAGGGCCTCTGAGGGTGACCAACCAAGGCTAGAGTGGGAGGGGTCTTGGCTCCAGTACAGCCTGTCACTGACCCATGAGAAGGTTAGAAAGGAGTGGATGCCTGACCTCAGAACTGGACTGTTTCACTTTTGGCCCAGAGGACATTCCCAGGCTGGGAATCCCCACTGGGGAATGGCCACCATGGCCTCTCACGCAGGCTTGAAGGGTGCTTGGGAGCCAGCTCTAGAGGCCAGTTAGGATCCTCACTCAGCCTTGCCAGGACAACAGGCTGCCTACTGGTGAGGGTGACACCCAGGTGCTGCCAATGAGGAGACATCCAGGTGCCTGTAACCTGCCACAGGCCCCAGTGCCTCTGAGAGGCAGGACACCTCACTCTTGTTCTGTGGAGGAGACAGAGGGTCCAGGAGGCCTTAGGTCCAGGACTGGACTGCACCTAGGTCTCCCAGGGCCAGAGCACCACACATATTGCTTCGATATTCCCCACAGGAAATGGCTAAACCAAAGCCACAGTGACTTGGGACCCTGAGGGCACTAGCCCCAAGCTGACTCTGTGGCCAGCTGCAAGGGGCACCAAAGACCCCAAAACAACAGGATATCTGGACCCCATCCAGCTCTACCGGGGACAGCTCCTGGGGCCCCGCCCACCCCACAGGCTACTGCTGCACACTGGTTCTGTCTACAATAAGAACCTACCACCCGGCCCTGGTCAGGCAGCTCAGTTGGTTAGAGTGTCATGCCGATACACCAAGGCTGTGGGTCCAATCCCTGGTCAGTGCACATACAAGAATCCACCAATGAATACATAAACAAGTGAAACAACAAATCATGTTTCTCTCTCTCGAAAAACAAAAAATCAGTTAACAAAACAAAACAAAAACCTACCATGCTGATGAGCCAGGGAGGGAACACAAGCATCACGCACCCACCCACCCACCCACCCACACACACATCAGGCAAACCTTTATGATGGGGACTGCAGAACCAGCCCCAAAACATCTAGCAGTGGGGAAAACTGCCCAGCCTCCCTCAGACACCCAGACAGGGTCAGTATGGGCCCATGGGAGGTGCTTGGCCTGGCCCCTACAGCCCAGGCAGGCAGGGTGGCTATGCTAAGCATGGAGCTCCTCCTCGAGCTCCTGTGTGCCCCCCGGCCTCAGCTTCCTCTGCAGAAAGGTCTGAGCACTGGCTCTGCTGGGTGCCTCGCTCCTCTCTAAGCCCTGCCTCAGACGCCTCCCTCGTCACCTGGGGAAGCAAGGCCACTCGTCAGGGTGGGAGGCAGGGTCAGGAGGGCCACTGGACCCTCAGGGCTGTCAGAGGGGCTTCCCACAGCGCTGGCCGCCCAGCAGGATGTAGTGTACAGTCTTTGGAACTAATGTAGGCAGAGCATGTGCAGCCTCTGCCCTCCAGGTAGAGGGAAGGGGGGCAGCCCACCCCACGGATGTCTGTGTACCCCGGTAGGCCCTTGGGTCTGGGATGGCATGGATGGACCTGCCCTGAGGACTTGGGGATGTTGGGGACATCCAGGCTGGGGTACGAACCACTTCGGCTGCCAAGCTCACCAGGCACTGTGAAGTCCTGAGTGTAGATGATGTCATCCTCGATGTCAAAGAGGTCCTCGTCCCCCTCATCATCAGCACAGCCATGAAGGTCCTCCAGGTAGGGCACCACAGTCATACTGCGCCACCGGTCCTTGCAGTCTGAGCTTGGCGGGATGGGCACCAGCTCCTCAGCTGGTGGGTGCTTCTTCCGGAACCAGCTACAGAAGCCGGTACATCAGGACAGCCTGGAGCACCCAGCTCCCCATGCAGGCCCCACACAGCCAGACACCTGGGGACACTCACCTATGCTGCCTGATCTGCTGGATGGAAAACCTCTTAGCCGGCTCATATTCCAGCATCCCTGAGGAGGAGACCATGGGAGAGTCAGCATGGGCCCCTGTGCAGCTCTGCCCGCCCACATGGTACTCTCCGCAGTGCTGGCCCTGTAACTGTGTGGTGCTTGCAGATCAAGGGCCCTGTCTTATGGGGGCACAAGGGCAATCCAGGCACCAAGGCCACACGCAGCCACCTGTGGAAATCTGCACAGCAATAGGCAGTGTGGCTGTGAAGACAAGGAGGGGACACTGCTTTCCAGAACGAGACAGGATGCAGCCCCAGCCCACAGGTGTTGGACCTGCTGTTCGTATGCTTGAGGATGAGGAAGCATGGAACTGCCTTCTGCCAGCACCCAACCAGCAAAGGCCAGTAAAGGTCATGACTGCTGGTTCTAGCCAGGAGTCCACGGACCCAGAAACAGCAGCAAGGGCAGCACACAGTGGGTGTTCACGTGTCCATGGGGCAGGTGCCATACCAGGACAATCCCATAACAAGACAATCACTTGAAAAAGGGCAAGACTGGCCCACAAACCACTCAGCCAGGGTGGCAACACCACACTCAGGTGGCAGGGGACCCCAGAGCCTGTGGATTCTGCTGCCCCCACTGCTTACTCCCTGTATCTCCTGTTCCCTTCCCAGTGGGAGGAGAATCGTGCCTCCTGAGCGTGATGCAGAGGTGGGGAGAGGGCACAGCGCTAAGCTCTGAACATCACCTGAAGGGTGGCGGCTTTGTACTCAGAAAACAGGAGCAATTTTGGGAGCTGAGGCTCAGACTTAAAGGTCTCAGTGGTGTGGGGGCAGGAAACAACACAATGGTGCTCAGGGGTCTGGGAGGCCCCTGCAAGCTCCTGCTTCCCCCACCCGCCTGTCTCCAGCTCTCCACACCTTGGTACAGCTGCCACCAATGTCCCCTCCCAGCATGCCTAGGGGTTCTGAAACACCAGAAATCAGCGCCAGGGTGGCTCTAGAACTCACAGGGACACTGCCCACCACCCCAGCTGATGGGACAACCTCCAGGCTGACCACTAAGTTAGACCCAACTGCAACGGAGGAGGAGGCACAGCCCACATGTCCCAGCCAGCAGGTAAAGTAAGGGATGGGGCTGCCCTGCCTGCATCTGGGGAGAGGGATGTCCTCTGCCATGTCATCACCCTACATGGGGCCATTTCAGGCATGAGTGAGGATATGGGAAGTAATTAATGGTCAACCTGCAAGGGACAGGAGTTCATGCTGAGAAAGCGTCAACTGACTGACACTTGTCCAGGGAAGGCAAGTTCACAACACCCGACCCTCAGCAGAACTGAAACCACCCACCATGGAAAAAGCCTTGCGAGTGGAGGTCAAGGGCCAAGATCTGGGCACACTAGAGGATAAGATATTGAGTCCACAGTCATCCTTCAAAAGGCTGCTGGAGCCCATGAGCACTTTGGAGAGTTCACAGAGGACTGGGGACGGGGAAAAAAGCCAGGCCAGCCTCAACCTGGGAGCTCTTCTGAAACAGGTGGACCTCTTCCCGACTGCTTGCTCCTTCCCATGTTCCAAGAATAATTCGGGCAGTGTCCCCAGAGCTGGCCATCTTCCTTGATGTCCTAGGGTGGCGGGCCAGGCCTGCGCTCAGCATCAAGAGCCCAATTCCACCTTCAAAGCATTCAATGGACTTGCATGTAAGAACCAGCTTGACTCGGTTACTAGGAAACTGAAGTATATTTGGAGCATCTTGGAAATATAGCTTGATCTTTCTAGCAGTGCCTCAAACTAAGTCTAGATACTGACCAAGCATCCAATGAGAGCATATAAGGTCAGTCACAAACCAGAGCGTGATGACTGAGAGCAAAAGAAGAACCTGAGATAGTACTGCACTGATAAATCTTACATACTGGTCACAAGCTGGGTGTGCGACATCCTCATAAACTATCTCATCCAAACCCACTATAGCTGAACCTCAGGCTGCCAGCTGGGGCTCCTACCCACCTGTCTGCACCTGTCCAGCCATGATGTGGACCGACAGCACCACCTGCTGCACTGGCTTGGAAATGCAGCAGAGGACAGCAACCAAGGCAGGAGAGCTGGGTTCCTCACTCTTTGGGGAACATTTCCTGGGCTCAGCTGCTCTCCAGATCCCACAGGGCACCACGTCCCCCACCCGCCCTCAAAAGACCCACCTCCTGCCTCTCCCCAGGGCCTGTGGTCAGTCACCACCCTGAGGGCCTCACCTTTCAGCAGGTCCGAGAGTGGGGGACCGCAGTCACCTGGGATCGTGTAGTCCCCTTTCCCGATGTTCTCAAACAACTTGTAGATGTTGTCCCCTTCGAAGGGGTACAGGCCTGTTGTGATGTTGTATCTTCACCCCCGAGGAGAAGGACAGAGGCCCAGTCAGTCGGGGCTTCTCCTGCAGCCCTGGCCCAAAACCCACCTGGCACAGGAGCCTCAAACCAGCCCCACCTGTAGGGCCCCATACTGAGGGTCGGGAATGATCTGGAATAAAGGGTGGTGGCTGCGCTGCTGAAAATATCGGAAACTACTGGGCTGTGTGTATATTTTAAAGGGTGGGTCATGTGCTATGTGAAATTCTCTCAATGAAATACAAATGCCCAGCTGGTGGCTGCCCTGTGGCGGGGTGGTGGACGAAAGTTCTCGATGGGCAGCTGTGCCGGGACCTCTGAAGTACGAGTACCACCATTTCAGGAGTGAACAGGGTTCCAGAGAACTCTAATGGGCCCACCACCGCTGGTACTCGGAAGTGCTCAGGGACACGCTGTGACAGGCCAGCAGACCAATGGGGCAGAATGGCGGCAGGGGGCGGGGAGGGAAGGCAGCATGCAGTGGTTGGTTGAACAATACTTTCAACACTTTCAATTTGTTGTGTTTTTGAATTCCCAAAATAAAGCGTCAGGACAGAAGGTGCCCACGAGATGAGTGTGGCCAGGTGTCAACTGATGAGAATAAAGACAAACAGGGCCCTCAATAACCAAGGGGGACGCAGCCTTCACTCCCACTTGCAGGGGCTGCTAGCCCCAGCTCCAGCCACCCCAAGAGGGGCAGGATCCAGAAGCCTGAAGCCCGAGCAGAGTGGGTAAAAGAGGCGGCCAGAGCCCACTGTCACTTACAGGGTAACGCCAGCCGACCAGATGTCCACCTTGAAGCCAGAGAAAGTGTCCAGGCCATTGGCAATCTCAGGTGGCTGGAACGCTGGGGAGCCCTGGCTTGTCCTGCACGTGTCGTCCTCAGCAAAAGGGTGCAGGGCCTGTGACAGAGCCAGGTGGCCTAAGGAAGCGGCCTCAGGGACTGCCCGGCCCCCACCCTGTCCTTGGGTCCTACCTCAGCCACACCCAAGTCAGAGATCTTGAGCGTGCCACTGGTGGTAAGCAGCAGATTGCCCGGCTTGATATCCTTATGCACAATGCCCTGGCTGTGCAGGTACTCCAGACCATCCACCAACTGGCAAAAGTACCTGCAGAAAACAAGGGCCGCCTGGGGTCACCGAGCAAAACCAAAGACAAGAGGCCACAGTTTGGGAGCCACCAGAGCCAGCAAACAGAGAAATGACAGGACAGGAGGCTCCTCAGGAAACCACGGGCCACAGGTGAGGCCGAGCCACTCCTAGGCCCCCTAAGGCTTCAGTCACCCGTACTCAAGCCTCCTGGGGAGGCTACAGAAGGGCTCTCTGGCTTCCCACCTGCCTCTCCCAACCAGGCAGCCCTTCCTTCCTTTCCCCATTATGTCAAGAGATGTGTAACAATACCCACTCCCCAATTGCTCTGACATAGACACAGCCATATAGCCCCCTCTGGAGCCCTCCCTAGGGCCCAGGACCCAGGCTCACCCTGCCAGCCTTCCATTGAGGCCACAGGCCAGCTGGTACTGCGGCAAGGAAGGGGGATGACACCTCAGGGGGGGTCAGGCAGCCAGCGGCAGTATGGGCCACTGTCATGGGCTTCCTAAGGACCAGGAAGTCTCAAAGCCTCAGGAGCAGGCATACTGGTGCAGGGGATGTGCAAAGAGGAGCTACCTACCTGGGGTACTGCAAACCAGGTTCCCCAAACTCTGAGTTTTAAAGCACACTTGAGCCTTCACGTCATTAGTAATCAGAAAAAGTTGTTGAAACACAGAACAGAGTCCTTGAAGACCTTGGGCCTGGGGATGACGTGGCAGGACAGACGGGCAGCCATAAGGCCTGGCAGCACACACTCACCCATGAGCCTGGCATACGGGGAACCGCTTCTCGGGCACACTGTCCAACATCTCCTGCATGCCACACACGCAGTACTCCATGACCATATACGTGCAGTGCTAAGGAAACAGCTGGGGAGAAGGCTCTGGAAAGTGCTGGGGGGAGACCACAGGCAGCTGGTGCAGGAGAGACCACAAGTGGCTGCGTGTCTCAGGCCGGTAGGAAGGGGCTGCAGGGGCAAGGCTCCAAGGCCAGAGAACCCAGGGTCAGGCTAAAACCGCTACCCTTGGCTGTGTCTCCAACAGGGGCAGCCTTGATACAGACAGAGAGGAGCTGCATTTTGGGAACCCTGTCACCCGCACCAGTGAGTTGGTGACAGGCATCTGTGGAAGGACAGGGACTCCCTGGAGGGAACCAAAGCCCTTACACACTTGCCTCCAGGAGCTGGAGTCAGTCAGAGCCACACGCTCTGGAGAGAGGGAACCTTTTCCCCTCAGTAAAGGGCAAAGGCCAAGGACACTCCTATATTCCAAAGTGATACCTCTGGTCTCAGCAGGCGAGGCCCAAATGCCAGAGGGAGGGGGTATGCCCACCATGTGGGCACCTAAACATGGGGTCAGCCAGACTGAGGCTGGAGTGTCTTTTCTCCAGACCCAGTACTCCCACTCAAGCCATAAAGCGAAAGTTCGGGAATAACTGGGAAAACAGACACATGGGTGTCATGACCCGCGTCTACCCACCCTGACCCCAAAGGATATATCTTCTGCTTCTCCTCATTGTACAGCACATCCACGAGCTGGATGACGTTTTTGTGCCGCAACCTCCGCAGCAACTGAATTTCCCTGAAGAGAGGACAGAGTGTTAGTCAAGCCCACTGTGCAGTGGGATGTGGAGCTTGCTCTTGGGTGCTGCACACAGGACATGCCAGCTCTTAAGACACCAGGGGAACTAGGAGGTTCTGCCACTGTCCCTTCCATTGTACCAGTATGCACAGGGACAGCTGGTGGGGTGTGGACAGGGACAAGGCAATCAGGACACTTGTTATATATTTCAACTGCAGATGAACAATTTGTTATACAAGGGACAGTAGAGCAAGGTTGGCATGACCGAGTATTACGGGCAGATCTGGGCTTACAGAGGGGCCCCAGAGATGAGACTGTCAGACAGTAAGGCAAGGCCACGCCCATCCCCTGGCATCTTGTAAGGACTTCCTTCCTCTCCCAGCACTCCGCAGCCCTGCAAGAAAAACGACCCAACTTGCTTCATTAGAATGGACACTGAGGCGCCACTGACAACCTGGCACAACCCACACCTGTCAGCTTGTGACAAGGGCTGGGCCCAGAAAACACCCACATGCCCATCTATAGATGACATGGGCCCTCAAGAGCAGGGGCAGCAGCAATGGGAAGCCTGTGGTGGAGCTCCACGTGCCTGGCTGCCCAATCCCAGAAACACCTTTCTAAATTTGGCAGAGAACCCACAAAACTGCATGGCTGCGCTGGGAGTGGGAACCTCTACTGCTCATCAGGGGGCTTTGGAGAGCACACCCCAAGTTCTGACTGATAAGAAGACCCACCCATAGTTCTGCATCCCTGTATCTGAAGATCACCCGAGACCCATCTCCTGGGCTGTCAGGAGCAAACTCTGACACAAAGTAAACGATGGCATCCTGTCCTCTGCAGTGAGACAGCTCAGTGCTCCTTTTGACACCAATAAAGTGTGTTCTTTAAAAAAAAGGGGGGGGGGGCTCCATCCCCTTAACTTAATGAAGCTGATCCACTGTGGAGGAGTGTTTGTTTGTCTGTCCAGTACCTGGATCAAGGTACTCTCTGTAAACATGGAAGTTCCACTACTCATACCAGGAAAGAACAGACACAGCATCAGCTTCGCAGAGATGGGGCAGTGGGCACCACGTGCCCCAGCAGCAGAAGCATGTGTGCTGACAACACCTTACACAAGGTAACTGGAGACACACCGTTAGCATGACCTGAGCTGCCTACCAGCTTTCTGTGGTAGCTGGTAGTAGCTACCAAAACCATTACTGCAGTGGCCGTGAGAGCCCAGAGGGGATTCCATCACTGTCTACCTCGTCAACCTCTCCTACAGGTTGCCTCTCTGGCCAGAAAATGAGAACAATGTTTATAGAAAAAGGAAAGGCCAAGTGCCCAATCAGGATGCAGGAAGTGAAGGAGAGGAAGTGGCGCCTCTCAGGTCAGGGAGGCTGCCTCTGCTCCTCCAGACCTGCCATGGACAATACCTGATCAAAGTGGACTGTTCCGTGACTACGATTAACAGAAGAGAAAATGAAGAGCTAGGGTCAAAGATTTAGAGGAATGGAAAGGGGATGCCTCCATGCTCAGGCCAAAATACATGGGAATAAGCAGGGGAGACAGAGCCACGCCACAGCCGTTCCTCAGGAACTACCCCACCTTGCTCCCCTCCGTATGTGAGGCAGGCCCAGGGCTGATGGTGGCTCTGGCAGAGGGACATTGAGCAACATCCCCTTACCTCCTGGTCCTTCTGCAGACATTTCTAAACATATGGCAAGAGGCCTTCAGGGGTAGAAGAGGGACTAAAACAAGGGGAAATGTGCTGTAAGTGATCGACACAATATTTGCACATAAACATTCACAGCAGCAGGATTCATAATTGCCAATGAGTGGAAACAACCCAAATACCTATCGACAGATGATGAATAAACAGAATGTGGCCACCCACACAGTGGATTATTACTCAGTCATGAAAAGGAGTGAACATTGATACTTGCTACAAGGTGGATGGACCTTAAAAACAAGATGCTCAGTGAGAGAAACCAGATACAATAGGCCACACAGTGTGTGATTCAACTTATGTGAAATGTCCAGAACAAGCAAATCCACAGAGACAAGAAGTGGGTTCATGGTTGTCAGGAGCTGGGCCGGAGGATGAGGTAACTGATGACAGAGATGGGACTTCTTTTGGGGTGATGGAACATTCTGAAATGGGTAGTAGTGAAGGTTCCAAAATCTGTGAAAGTTCTAAATGCCACTGAATTACATATTAATCGGGTGAATTTTATGCTACATAAGTTATATCTCAATAAAGCTGTTAAAACACATAAACTAAAGCTCAGCCGCAGGACGGGTGGATGGAAGGATGCGAGACAAAGGGCAGCGCTGGCTCTGATTCCCAGCACACTCACAGGCGAGGAAGCAGATTCCACATGCACCCTGGCCCAGTAACCCATGCTTCCACTGCATCTCAGAGTCCTATTCCCACCCCCCGCCCCCTCCCCAGTCAGGGAAGGACCAGGCACACAGGGAGACCCACAGAACATTCAGTGCAGGTGAGCGCCAGCAGATGGGCTGTGCCCTCTTGCTGTCGCCTCCGGCAGCAGCCCAGCCTGGGCTCACAGTGGCATCCTTCCCAACACTGAGGGGGGCAGGCAGCCCAGCAGATATCGGGACCTTGTAGAGGCCACTTGGGACACCAATGAAACCCAACAAAGTCCAGGGTTCCGGTCCTCAACGTGCTAAAACCACCACCATTCATCATCATTCAGATCCAAGTACCTGCCAATCACTGCAAGGTGCTCCCGGTCTCGCCAGGCCCAGCAGGGACACTAATGATTGCTCACAGAGCTGCCACCCCTCCACTGAGGACCCAGCCACACAGGGGGCAGACAAGGGAAAAGGAGGAACAGCCTGTGTGGCCAAGTATGTCATACTATGTCACCTTCCTAACACAGAGAGCAAACATGCACCAGAAACCACACTCAGAAAAGAGGTTGTAATGTGACACTGAGTTGCAGTGGACCGGTGGGTCTGGAGAGATTATCAAACTCACGCACACTTCCTCTGACCGAGAAACTCCACTTCTGGCGATGTGCCCTTCACACCCTTGAGCTTGTCACACGACATGTCTCAAAGTAACTCACCAACACAGCAAACAGGTCCACAGCACAGGGAGGGTCAGACCCAGCCCTCATGGACAGAGCCCCATCTGGGGACAGAAAGGCAGTTCAGCCTGGGCTGCAGGGCAGGACACCCCATGACTTTGTATAGTCCTGAGCAGGAGTGAAACTGTTTCACTTTTCTAAACAGTTGATGGGGGGAAAAAAAAAAAAACCCACAAAAACCACTAATTGGTGACTTCAAGACACCATCTGTGCAGTTGTAACAGAGGTTTCCCTAAGTCCTAAGCACAACTCGTCCGGCTTGACCCATTCACCATATGCGCCCACCTGGTAGGGAACTATCTATACCTACAAGAAACCTTGCCCCAAGAAGGTGCGGGACTGACCCAGCCGGGCACCTTTCATGGGTTCAATCCGTGAATTACTACTGCCTATTGGAAAAACAAGTAACATACAACTTATTTTTAAAAAGCAACCCTTGCCCTGGCTGGGTAGCTCAGTTGGTTAGAGCATCATCCCTATATACCAAGGTTGCAGGTTCAATCCTCAGTTAGGGTACATACAAGAATCAACCAATTAATGCGTAAGTGGGACAACAAATTGATATTTCTTTCTCCCTTCCTCTCACTCTCTAAAATCAATCAATAAATTTTTTTAAAAAGTGATCCTTACAATAGTTTTATTTTTCGTTAGATTGGATAGGGTAAGAAAACAAATAAAAAAGGAAGTGAGGCAAGATACATTGGTACTGAGATTACAAGAAATTTTTTATTTTTACTTGATGCTTTTTGGAACTTTCTTTTTTTTATAAGAACAAGCAAGAGGCCACATGCAGACCAACGGCAGCCTTCCCAGAGGAAGCCTATGAAGGGAGAGGTATTCTGACCTGTCCCATCACCTGGGCAAACATTGTTCTTTCAGAAAAAACTTTGGTTCAACGGAGGCTTTTCTGGGAGGTTCTAGACACTCTGAGAGAGCAGCGGCTGCAGTGAAATTTATTAATCTCTCAAAGAAGCCTTTTTCCCTGATAGCGGACTGGCTGGCAGTGAGGGCTGCCCAGGAGCTGACACCTGTTCCCCTGCCACCACAGCTCTGTACAGGGCAGGCCCACCCAGTCTCCTCCTGCAGACTGGGGACAACAGGGCAGGGGCTCAAGAAAGGACAGCTTGAAGCCAGTGCAGCACTCCAAGGGAAACCTCAAAAAGGTCCAGGCCCGACACCCAGGTCCAGGCCTGAGCCAATGAAATTGGGCAGTAGCTCAGTGCCTGCTGCTGACACCTTATGCTAAATGTCAGGTTGGCTGAGGACCACCCACCACTGGCTTGCTTCCCCTCTGGTCCTTCCCAGAGACACTGCAGAACTGGTTCCATGCAGCCTCAAGACTGCACACCCATGTGTCTCCATAAGTTCCTGGGAGCTCAGCCAATTCTTCAGGAAACCAGTAGCGGGATGCCAGTGCTCTGTGGCTCCCAGCTGGGCTCTGGTCATGTGTGTCTCTAGTAGAGCATGAGGGAGCTCTTGAGTGGTGAAATGCCCTCTAACATGACTTTGGTGTGTGCAAACTGTGTCTCCTGAATGGGTGCCTTTAACACAGGTACATTACACCTTAACAAAGGGGGGCCCTCAGCCCAACCCAACACACCCTCCATCATGGCCAGGGAATGCAGACCTTCTGGGACCTGCTGACCCTACAGCCATCAGTCAGTGGCTGGTCCACACAGTGAGGCCCCCAGCTGCTAACAGGGTAGCCTTGGGTGGGTGACTAGCCAGACACATCGATTGGTACTGGAACCTGGCCACTGGGATGCGACTCTGGAAGCCCCTCCTAACTTGGGCTGCTGCACTCAAGAGGCTGGGGCCTCAGGGGCACAGCAGTAGGACATCAAGCAGCCAGCACCAGAACACATCATGGACTAATGCCAACTCCATCCCGAGGGCTCAGTCACG